TTAATCCACCCGAATCGGTAAAAAAGCTCCAAATGTTAAAAAGTTGCTAAAAATGGGGGGGGGGCACATAACATTTTCCCCAAAACATCACGGGGTGAGCTGGGGGGGGGGGCACGGTCACCCCCCAGCCCTGCTCTTTCCCCCCCCCACCCCAAAACCAAACGCAGCCCGTTAAAAACCGCCCCCACACCCCCCTCCTGCAGGGGTTGGGGCCCCCCAGGACCCCCGAGCTGGGGGGGGGGGCAGCAGGGTCACCCCCCCCCCAAAAAAAAACCATCCCTGGTGGGGGGGGGCACCCAGCGCTGCGGCACCCATCCCTGGAGCACAAGTGCCACCTGCCGGCCACCCTGACTGGGAGCACTGGGGGCACCAGTATGGGGGTACTGGGGATACTGGGACCCCCCCAAGCGGGGGGGGGCTGGGGGGGGCGCAGGGCCCCCCCGATACCCCGTGGGGGGGGGTCAGTAAACGGCCTCGTCCATGTTGTCGTCGCTGTCGCCGCCGAAATCCTCCCCGTTGTCGAAGTAGGACATGATGTAGTCGGTCTCCTGGGGGGGGGCAGGGAGAAGCCGTGAGACCCCCCCCCCAAAAAAAATAACCCCCCCCAAAATTCCCGCGCCCCCCCCCTCACCTCCTCGTGCTCCTCCTCGTCGTACTCCTCCTCCTCCTCCTCCTTGCCTTCCTCCTCCTCCTCCTTCTCCTCTTCCTCCTCTGAGGTCACCTCCTCCTCCTTCTTCTCCAGGCTCTGGGGGGGGGCACAATCAGCTGTGACCCCCCCAAAATGCCCCCCCCAGCACTAATTTGTCAGGGGGGGGGGCACGTCGGAGCCTTCGGCCTCGTTACCTCCAGCTTCTTGATGGCCTCCTCCTTGTCCAGCGCCGCCCGCTGCTTGGGCTTGGGGACGAGGACGGTGGTCCCTGGAGGGGGGGGGACACGGGGGGGGGCAGGGGGAGCGTCACCCACCCTGGGGGGGGTCACACAAACAAATAGGGGGGGGGGGACACGGGGTACTCACGGCCCTTCCGCAGCCTCCGCACCCGAATCTTCAGCTCCCGCGGCAGCCGCCTCCAGTCTGTTGGGGGGGGGAGGGAAACAGAGGCTGGATCAGCCCCCCCCTAAACCCCCCCCTCCCTAAAAAAGCCCCCCCCCACCCCAAAAATACCCCCAGGTACCTGGGTTCCAATCGATGGCACCGTCAATGGGGTTGGAGACCTGGTACTTGTCCGAGTAGCGCTCGATGTCTGTGGGGTGAGGGGGGGCATCAGTGGGTTTTTGGGGTCGGGGGGGGGTCCCTAAATCCTTTCCCCCCCCCCGGTACCTCTGCGGGGTGCCCCCGGTTTGATGAAGTAGGGCAGGTTCCTCATGGCGCCGCGCAGCTCCTGCTTGAGGGCCAGCATGTACTCCAGCTCCTCGCCCCCCGGCAGCGGCACCGGGCGGTACTCCACGGGCTGGGGGGGGGCACGGGGGGGCGGGACCCCAAATGTCACCCCAAATGGCACCCCAACTGGCACCCTGACTGGCACCCTGACTGGCACCCTGACTGTGACCCCAACTGTCACCCCAATTGTCACCCCAAACATCACCCCAATTGTCACCCCAAATGTCACCTGGACTGGCACTTCAAACGTCACCCCGATTGTCACCCCAATTGTCACCCCAACTGGCACCCCGACTGGCACCCCAAATGTCACCTCAATTGTCACCCCAATTGTCACCCCAACTGGCACCCTGATTGTCACCCTGACTGTGACCCCAACTGTCACCCCAAATGTCACCTGGACTGGCACTTCAAACGTCACCCCAATTGTCACCCCAATTGTCACCCCAAATGTCACCCCAACTCTCAACTGGACTGGTACCCCAATTGTCACCCCGGCACCCCAATTGTCACCCCAATTCCTGCCCTAACTGGCACCCCAAACGTCACCCCAATTGTCATCCTGCCTGGCACCCCAACTCTCTCCCCAGCTGGCACCCCAATTGTCACCTCAAATGTCACCTGGACTGGCACCCCAAACATCACCCCAATTGTCACCCCAATTGTCATCCTAACTGGCACCCTGATTGTCACCCCAATTGGCACCCCAATTGTCACCCCAACTCTCACCCCAATTGTCCTCCGTCACCCCAATGTCACCCCACCTGGCACCCCCAGGTGGGCCTGGCACCCCAAATGTCACCCTGCCATCCCAACTGTCACCCCCAATTGTCACCCCAGTTGCCACCCTGTCACCCCAACTGCCACCGTCACCAAGCGTCACCCCAACTGCCACCCTGATTGTCACCCTGCACCCCCAGTTCAGTCACCCAGTGTCACCCCAAGTGTCCCCCTGTCCCCCCAGTTGTCCCCGTCACCCTAACTGCCACCCCAACTGTCACCCCATCACCCCAACTCCCATCTGGTCCCCCCAGTTGTCACCCCAAGCGTCACCCCGACTGTCACCCTATGCCCCCAGTTGTCACCCCGTCACCCCAACTGTCCCCCTGTCCCCCCAGCTGTCACCCTAACTGCCCCCCCAACTGCCCCCCAACTCCCATCCCGTCCCCCCCCTTGTCACCCCGACTGTCCCCCCACTCCCACCCTCTCCCCCCAAGTTGTCCCCGGGGGGGCTGCCACCCCCTTCGGGTTGTGTCCCCCCCCCCCCCAGGCCCCCAAAACTCACCGGGAAGAGGGGGGAGGGCTGTAGGGTGGGGGGGGGCAGCGCGTCCCCCTTCCCGATGCCCACGGCCTCCACGTTGAAGGTCAGCTGCCCGCGACCCCGGCCCCGGCCTCGGCCCGCCATGGGGGGGTTGGGGGGGGGGGCACGGAGCCCGGGGGGGGCTGTGGGGGGGGCACAGAGCACGGGAGGGGGTGGCTGGGGAAGGGGGGGCAAGGGGGGGTAAGGGGAGAGGGGAAGGGGGAAGCCTAAGGGAGAAGGGGGAGCCCTAAAAAGGGAGATAGGGGGGGGATGGGGGGGGGCAGCCCTAAAATGGGATATGTGGGGGGGCAGCCCTAAAGGGAACCCGGGGGGGGGGAATGGGATGGGACACCTGGAAAAGGGATATGGGGGGGGGAATGGGATGGGGGGGCCCCTAAAGGGATATGGGGGGGGGGGTGATGGGACAGGACACCTGAAAAGGGACATGGGGGGGCACCCCTAAAGGATATGGGGGGGGTAATGGGATGGGGGCATCCCTAAAGGGATACGGGGGGGCCCTAAACGGATACGGGGGGGGCAAAATGGATATGGGGGGGCAGCCCTAAAAAGGAAACCCCTAAAAAAGGATGGGGGGGCACCCCTAAAGGGATATGGGGGGGCCCCTAAAGGGACATGGGGGGCAATGGGCAATGGACGGGGCACCCCTAAGGGGATACGGGGGGGGGGGCCCTAAAGGACACGGGGGGGCCCTAAACAGGCACATGGGGGGGGGGGGAAGGGGACGGGGCCCCCCCTAAGGGACACAGCAGGGTGGGGGGGGGGGGGCGGGGCCCCCCTCATGGCCCCGGGGCCGCTCCCCCCGAGGCTCGGCCCCCCCCGGGCCCCCCCGCGGCCCCCCCCCGGTGCCGGTCCCGGTGCCCCCCCCCGGGTCCCAGCTCGGCCCCGTACCTGCACTGCGCATGCGCCGCGGCGCTACGCGCGGCCGGGGTGGGGGGGAGTACGGAAGGGCGAGGGGCGCGCTGATTGGTGGGAGGCGGAGCCAATCAGAAAGCGGAACGGGAAAAGGGGGCGGGGAAAGGGGCGGGGCGAGGGGAGATGAATGGGGCGGGGAGGGGATGAATGGGGAGGGGAAAGGGGGGGGAATGGGGTAAATGGGGTAAATGGGGGGGGACTGGGGGGCATTGGGGAGCGATGGGGGGGATTGGGGGGGATTGGGGGGATGGGGTGAATGGGATTGGGGTGGGGTTGGGGTTGGGATTGGGATTGGGATTGGGATTGGGACTGGGACTGGGACTGGGATAGGATGAATGGGGGGTGGGATGGGGTGAATGGGGGTGGGATTGGGGGGATTGGGGAGTGATGGGGGGGACTGGGGGGGATTGAGGCGGATGGGGTGAATGGGAGTGGGATGAGGATGGGGATTGGCATTGGGATTGAGATTGGGATGGGATAGGATGAATGGGGGGGTGGGATGGGGTGAATGGGGCGGGGATAAAATGAATGGGGATGGGGTGAATGGGGTGGGATTGGGATTGGGATGGGATGGGATGGGATGGGATGGGATGGGATGAATGGGGGGGTGGAATGGGGTGAATGGGATGGGGATGGGGTGAATGGGGGCGGGATTGAGATTGGGATGGGGATGCAATGGGACAGGACGGAATGGAGACTGGGACGGGATGGGATGGGGACGAAGGACACCTCAGTAGTGTCTGGCTGTAGGGCCAGAGACCAGGCTGAAGAAACCGATGGGAACAGGAGCGGGCAGAAGGGGGGGGGGGGGCTCCTGCCCCAACACCCCAGCCCCGTGGTGCCCCCCAGCTGCCCCACAGCCCTGGGACACCTCAACCCCACAGCACTGCTGCACCCAGCCCCGCTCACCCACACCCCCATGCCCATCACCCCATATCCCCACCCTACAACCCCCCAGCCCCCAACACCACCACCCAGTGCCCCCCAACCTCCCACCCCACAGCCCCCAGCCCCCCAGCCCCACACCCCCGGCCCTTCATCACTCTCCCCCTTAACCCCACTGCCCCCCAGCCCCAAACCCCACTGCCTCGTGCCCCCCCAACCCCAAAACGTCGGCCCCCATCGCCCCTTTCCCGTCGCACCCCCGCGCCGCTGGGGCGCAGCGGGTTCGGCGCTGGCTCCGCCGCCGCCGGGTGATTCATCCCCAAGCAGCCCTCCCCGCGCCAGGAGCTGCCAAAAATAGGGCTGCGGGGAGAGCTGATGGGGTGGGGGGGGGGGGGTGTATGGGGTGTGGGGGGGGGATAAACCCTCCAAATAACCTCCCCTGCCTCCTTCCCCCTCGCTAAACCCGCGGCCGGCCGGGATGGCGGCCACCGGGAGACGGCTCGGAGCCTCCATCGCCCCCACCCCGGGGACCCCCCCACGGCGCTGGGGGGGGCCACGCTCCGGTTACCACGGTAACAGAGAAGGCAGGAGGGATGGAGGGATGGGGAGGGGGCTTTTATTTTTTTTTGGGGGGGGGGTGGGAAGGGGTCTCCCCCCCTCTCCCCCCCCCAAAAGGGCCGGGATTGTGCAGCCCCTAAGCACCAGGCCTGGGTCGGCGTCTTGTTGGGGGGGGGGGGGCGCGGCAGCCAGGCTTGAAAATGTTGGGGGGGGGAAATAAAGGGGAGGGGGGGGGTGTTTTTTTGGGTTTCTTCCCCATTTTCCTGGCTGGCCAGAGAGCTGAGGATGAGCTGCAGTAACCATGGGAACCGGGCAGGCAAGGGGATGCGGGGAGGGGGGGGCACGGGCAGGGGATTGGGGGGTACGGGGAGGGATGGGGGGGGATTGGGGGTGCGGGGAGAGGATTGGGGGGGATTAAAGGGATGGGGAGGGGATTGGGGGGGGATTAAGGGGATTGGGGGTCAGGGGTATTGGGGGGGGAATTGGGGGTACGGGAGGGGATGGGGGGGGTTGGACAAGGCTGGAGGGGGGCACGGGGGGATACGGAGCACAAGGAGGGGGTGCAGGAAGGGGGACGGGGGATTTGGGGGCTATGGGGCTGGGGGGGGGGGGGGGGGGGGTAGAGGGGAAGGGAAGGAGGGGGGAGGAAGGGGGCCCTGGGGATTTGGGGCTGGGGGCACCGCGGGGGGGGGGGGCACAGCCCCAAGGTGACGGCACCGGGGGCAGCGCGGTGACACCGGGGGCACCTCCCTGGGAACCGTCCCCTCTGCGGACCCCACCAGTGCCCCCCCAAGCCTGAGCAGCCCCACGGCCCCGGGGGGGGGGAGCACGGGAGGGGGGCATACCGCAGCGAGCAGCTGGGGAAACTGAGGCAGGGAGCTGGGGAGGGATCGGGGGGGCTTCCACGTGCGGCACTCAACGCAACCCCGCTCCTGTCCCCCCCCAGGGCCACGCCACGTCCCGGCCCCGCGTCCCCCTGACGCCCTGCGATCCCTCACCCCGCGTCCCCCCACCCCGAGCGAGGATGCTCCAGGACCACCCCGACCCCGCCGCGTCCCCCCTGCCCTGAGCGGGCGATGCGGCTCCGGGCTCCTCGGCACCGCCGCGCTCCGTCCCGGTGGCTCTGAGCGTGCCATGCCCAGCCCCGTGCGGCGCCCCCCGGGGCCCGCGGCGCCCCCCGGTTTGGCCATGCTGCCCGCGGACGGCTCGGCCCTGCTGCGAGCCGTGGCCCAGGGTAAATTTCGTCTCACCCGGCTGCTGCTGGAAGGGGGAGCCTACATCAACGAGGGCAAGCCGCCGGGCAGACGCCGCTGATGGCCGCGTGCCGGGCGCGTTACGCCGACCCCCTGGAGCAGCCCCGAATGGTTCGGTACCTCCTGGAGAACGGCGCCGACCCCAACATCCCCGACAAAACGGGCAAGACGGCCTGATGCACGCCTGCGCCGAGCGCGCCGGGGCCGCCGTGGCCGCCGTGCTGCTGGCCCACGGCGCCGACCCCAGCGCCCGCGATTACGCCGGTGCCTCCGCTCTGGTTTACGCCATCAACCGGGGCGACCGGGAGACGCTGCAGGCGCTGCTGGACGCCTGCAAGGCGCAGGGCAAGGAGGTGATCATCATCACCAGCGACACGTCGCCCTCGGGCACCAAAACCACGCGGCAGTACCTCAACTCGCCCCCCTCGCCGGGGCTGGAGGAGAAGCGCTCGCCGGCGCTCTGCATGTCCCCATCCGACATCGAGGTGCGCACGGCGGCCTCGCCGGCGCGGCAGCGAGAAGGAGGAGGAGCGCGACGTCTTCCGCTTCCCACCGCCGCCACCGCCGGTTGCCGCCACCACCGCCACCGTGCCGGAGCCCCCCGCCGGGGGCCGGCCGCTCAAACGCCTCAACTCGGAGCCCTGGGGGTTGGTGGCCCCGGGGGTGGAGGCATCGCGGGTCCCCCCGGAGCGTTTGGCACCGGGGTTGGAGGGGCTGAGCCTCGGCACGCGGCCCCGGCGTCACAGCGTCGAGGGCAGGGAGGCCGCGGGGTTGGCGGGGGCGGCCTGGGCCGAGCGGGTGCCCCCGGCTTGCCCCCAGCCCCTGGCCCGGCGCAACACGGCCCCCGAAGCGGCGCGGGTCAAAGCGGGGCGCCGCGAGCCCCCCGACCCCGAGGGTTGCCCTTGGCCCCCTTCGCCACCCCCCTCGCCGGGGCGCGGGCGGCGCTGCGCGGCCTCGGCCATGCCGCTGCCGACCCCCGAGTCCCCCCCCGGTGCCCGGCGCCGCGCTCCCGGTTTGTTGGAGCGCCGCGGCTCCGGCACCCTCCTGCTGGAGCCCCTGGCTTCGGGGCGCGCCGGTTTCTTGCCCCCCCTGCACGCCGGCCCCCACCCCCCCGGCCCCCGAGGGCTCCCGGTTCCCGGCTCGCCCAAGGGGCGCCGCAAGCTGCTGCGCCGCCACTCCATGCAGACGGAGGAGATGCGGCTCCTGGCCAACTTCCAGAGCGCCCTCAGCCTGGAGCCGGGCACCTAAGGGGCCCCACGGCCCCCCCGGAGCCATGCCCGCAGCGTCCCCTTCCCTGCCCTCGTGTGCCGGCCCGGAGGGGGTCCCGGTCCCGGTCCCGGCTGCCGTGGGGACACCCCGTGAAGGGACCCTGCTCGTGGGCTGCCGGCCTCTCCCGTGGTGGCCGTGAGCCTGCCGGGGCAGCGGAGACCCCCCCACGGCACAGGCACCGGTGGGGGTCTCCCCGGGCTGGCTGCTGGCAACGTTCACTCTGAAGCCTACTGAGGCTGCGGGGGGGACCCGAAAAAACTCTTCCCTTGCTGCCGCTGGCAGAACCTTTGCACGTTCGGCAGGAGCTGGCACCCCCCGGCTCCCCGCATCTTCATCTTCATCTTCATCCCGCTCCTTCCTCCCCCCCCCCCAGCACCGCTTCTCTCCGTGGATCTCGCGGCAGCAGCGACAACCGGACCCCACCTCCTGCTTCCCCCCCCCCCTTTTTAGGTCCAGCTTTTGGGGGGGGTCCCCGCTGGCCACACGCTGCTCGGGGCGGGCGCCTGAGCAATAACGGCCGGGACGCCCGTGCCCCAAAACGGCCCTTCTCCTGGGGGGGGGTCTCCCCCTGGTTTTTGGCCACGGGACGCCCCTGCGTGCTGGGGGGGGGTCCCAGGGGGGAGCGGGGACGGGGATGGGGCACGCTGTCAGCACCCCCATGAATAAAGGCCTGGCACGGCTCAGCCCGGGTGTGATTTTTTGGGGTGGGGGGGGGATGGGGTTGGTTGGGGTTCGCCCTGAGCCCCCCAGGGGCACCCGGCCCCTGCCCAGAGGTGCCCTCCTAAGGGGGCTGCAGGGGGTGGGGGGGGGGTGGGGGGCAGCAGAAGGGGTGTTGGGGTGCCTGGGTGCCCAATTCCTGCACCTCTGGGTGCCCGCACCCCTGGGCAGGGGCTGTGTAAGGACCCACAGGGGGACGTTTGGGGTGGTGGGGGGGGGTTCCCTGCCCCTATAAACACGAGGGGTTGCTGCCCCCCCCCCCAGACCCACCAGGGGTCACGGCAGCCCCACGGGTGGGCTCGGCTCAGCTCCAACCGCGACGGTGCCAGGGGGAGGCAGGGGTCAGCCGGGACCCCCGGCGGGGACCCCAACCCCAGGGGGGATTGGGGGTGGGGGGCTGCAGCCCCCCCCCCCAGGGCTGTGTGGGGGTGTGAGGAGCCCGCGGCCTCCCGGTGAGGTTGAGGCCGGCCCTGCCCGCAGCGGGAGGCTGGGCTGAGCCGGGCGCTGGCGGCACCGGGCTGCGGCAGCACTGCAGAGCGGTACCGCAGCGGGGTGGGCTGGGGACGCTGCCGGGGGACACTGCTGGGGCTACTGGGACGTTGCTGGGGCTACTGGGATGCTGCTGGGGCTGGGGACATTCACCATGGGCGGCACCGATGGAGCTCTGGGGACACTGCTGGGGCTTTGGGGACAGCACCACGGGGCACTACTGGAGCTACTGGGATGCTGCTGGGGCTGGGGGGACAACACCACAGGGCGCTACTGGGGCCACTGGGACACTGCTGGGACTCTGGGGACACTGCTGGGGCTGAGGACATCACCACGGGGCACTGCTGAAGCTCTGGGGACACTGCTGGAGCTACTGGGATGCTGCTGGGGTGGGGACACTGCTGGGACTCTGGGGACGCTGCTGGGGGCTCTGGGGACACCGTCATGGGGCACTTCTGGGACTCTGGGGACACTGCTGGGACTCTGGGGACCTGCTGGGGTGGGGGGGCACCGTCATGGGGCACTTCTGGGGGCAGAGCTGGCAGTGGGTGGGTGCCAGCACCCTGGGGACCCAGGGGCAGACGGACCAGAGGGGGAGCAGCGCTGGGGGGTGTGTGGGGGGGCTGCACCCTGGGGATGTGGGACAGGGGTGGCAGCCCCCCCACCTGCTGCCAGGACCCCCTGCCCTGCCCTGGGGTGACCGTGGGGGGGGGCTCCCCACCCCTGCAGGGCCCCCGGGGCTCAGCGAGACTCATCGTTCAGCGTCCTGGGGGGGGGACGGGACACAGCAGGGAGGTGACACCCCCGGGGATGCCCCCCCGAACTCCCCAGGCCCCCCCCCTTTTCAGCCCTGCTTACCCCGCGATGTTGGTGGTGGAGACGCTTTTGGAGAGGGAGAGCGAGGGGCGGCCGCGGCGGGGGCCCAGCAGCGTCTGGCGGAAGCTCTCCGAGGGGTAGATGGCCGAGTTGGGGCGCTCCCGGATGGCAGCTTGGGGGGGGGACACGGGGGCTCAGCACCACCCCCCACCCCCAAGCTTCTCCCCACCCACCCCATCCCACACGCAGCACCCCCACCACCCCGGGGACACCCCCATATCGGGCTCCCCCACCCCCATTGCGCCCTTGGGGGGGTGTCCCCAGGGCTGGGAGCAGGGATCATCATCGGGGTGGCCCGGAGCTGGCGGGGAGGAGCTGTCCCCGCGTGTCCCCCCCCCCCTCCCTCAACCCCCCCGCCCCCAGGACACGTCACGTCCCCCCCACTCACTCTTGTTGCGCAGCGAGACCGACTGCAGCGCCGAGCTGTTCTTCAGCAGCGCCGCTTTCTGTTGCTGCAGGGGGGGGCAGCAGAGGCGTCAGTGGTGTCCCCCATCCGTGTGTCCCCCCCCCCACGGCGGGTGCCCCCCCAGTGCGTGCTCACCTTCTGCTTGACCTTGGTGCAGTTGGGCAGCGTGTCCTTGCAGCGGTTGTGGATGGTGACGTTGCAAGCTGCGGGACGGGGCGAGATGGAGGCGCAGCACCCAAAAAGCTCATGGAGGGGGGGGGGGGGCACCTTCCTTGCTCCTCCACCCCCCCAGGCTATGGGGACCCCCCCGGCGCTCATCTTGGGAGCGATGGGTGCAGCTGCAGTGGGGGCCCCCCGCCAGCTGCTGCTGGGCAGCGGTGGCTGGAGCGAGGAACCGCAGCTGCTGGCAGCAGCTGAGCCCCCGCAGCACCCCCGAGCCACAGCCTGCAGCACCCAGCAGGATGAGGCACCCTGGGGTGCCTGAGGAGCCCCCCCGCGCCCCCCCCAAAAGGAAGAAGAATGGTGTTGGGTATGCCCAGGAGCGGGATTTTCTCGCCAGGGCTGGCACCCGTTGCCTCTCCGCATCCCCTGCCCGCACCCCGGGGGCACCGTGGGGCTGGGAGTGGGGTCTGCGGGGCTCTGCCTGCCCATGGAAGGACCCCCCCAGCGCCCCCACACCACCATCGAGCATCCCCAAAATAGCCCCCGAGCCGGCAGCCTGCCCCGTCCTGCGGCACAGAGTGGGTGGCAGCAACCGCAGGCGCGCAGCCCAAGCCACAGCTCCCAGTACGAGCCCCGACAGCCGGACTGGGGGCAACTGGGGGAGTCCTGCGCCCACCCAAAACCCCGCAACCCCGGGCGGGCACTCACTGGGGCAGATGAGAGCCTCCTTGGCCGTGATGCTCTTGTTGCAGGCGAAGCACATGGTCATCCCCGAGACGGTGATGGTGGTGAAGAGGTGGCCGTTGGTGTAGCGCGCGTCCTTCTCCTTGCCCTCCTTCATCTTCTCCTTCTCCTTGCTCTGCCCGGGGAGACGCGGGGGGCGCGTGACGGCGGGGCTGCGGCACGGCGGGCGCCCGGCACCCCCCGGCACGGCGGCAGCAGCAGCAGCCCCCCGCTCCCTCGGGCTGCTTCTGCTGGTGGTGGCCAGGCTGGGGGACACGCGCGGGACCCCGTTTTCCCCCGTCGCCCCCCGGCCCGGGGGGTCCCCCATCGCCGGGCGCTGCCGCAGCCCCGGCGGGGAGCAGGCGGGTGCCGAAAAGCCACCCCGCTCGCTCGGCTCTCCCGTGCTTCCCATCATCCCATAACCATGACAACCGGGAGGCTGCGGGAGAAATCCCCCCCCCCCGCCCCAGCACACGTCGTCCCGTTCCCCCCCCACCCCCCCGGCACCGCAGTTGCCAGCCCCAATGGGGATGAGCGGCGGGGGCCGCGGCGGGCGGGGGGCCGCTCCCCTGCGCCCACGGGGTCGTGGAGCATCACCGGGGAGCCGTGGTGGCGCTGGGCAGCCCTGCACGTCCTCACCCGTTAGCCAAAGTGTGTGTTTTTCACCATTTAGCCCCAAAATAGGGCTTCGGGGGCCACTTGTGCCCCTCCTGCTCTGCAGGGGGGGGGGGGGTCCTGCCTGGGGGACCCCGGTGCCACCGCGGCCGCCCGCGGCTTGCTGCGGTTTTGGCCTCTCGAAAAAGGGAAGGGAGCTGCGGCTTCCTGAGCAGCTGCTGCAGGCTGCCCCGGCCCCAAATATGCGGGGGGCCTCAGGGTGCCCCCCACAACGCCCCCACCTCGATACCCGCCCCCCCAGTTAGAAGGCGCTGCCCCCCAGCAGCCCGGCCGTGCCGGCACAGAGCCGGCTTTGTGCGCACCCAGCCCCGGCCGTGCCTGGCACCGGGGTGCCCACGGAGCACGCCCTGGCCGAGCCGGCCCCCCAAAATCTGGGGGGGGGGGCAGCAAATTGTGAAGCCATGCTGGCACCGAGGGGGTGATGGGGGGTGAGAAGCAAGGGGTCTGCACCCCACTGACACCCCCTCCCCGTGTCCAGCGCAGCCGTCCCGATGGAGAGGTGCCAGCGGCGGTCACGGTGCGCACACAGGAGGCTCCCTAGGACTGGGGGGGGGGGTCTAAGAGGCAAAGACCCCCCCCCCAGGACAAGGGAGGCTGAGCAAGACGGGAGGGAGGCGAGGAGGACCGGAGGCACGGGCAGAACATCCCCATCCCCTCCCCGGGGACTGTTAGAGGATGCTGGGGGGGGGGGACGCAGCCCCTGCTCCCGTGTGGCACGGGGTGGGGGGGCCGTGGTTAGTCCGGAGGCAGCAAGGGAGCCCGGGGGGGTGGGGGGGGGGCTTCGGCGCTCACCCGCTCCCCGCGGAGGGGTCTCTCCGGGTCCCTTTCCTCCGGGAAGGGGGCGCAGGAGCAGCAGCACATCCCGGCCCCGCAGCCCCCGTGGCCACAACATCTGCCCCGCGCTCTGTGCCGCGATTGTTCCCGTTGTGTTGTTTTTTTTTTTGTTGTTGTTTGTTTGGCTTTTCACTTTTTTTTTTAATCCATTTTTTTTTTTTCTTTCTTCCTCCTTCTTTAAAGGGAAGGCTGCTCGGAGCCGGGGGGAGGAAAGGCCCCGCAGTTCCTGCGTCCCGGCCCCAACCGCAGGAAACAAAACAGCCGGGAGACAAAGGAGGGAGGCGATTTCTCTTCCTGCCGCCGCCGTTACCCCAGCGGGACGCCGGGGGCTGCCCCCCAGCACCGGCCCCGGCTGCGCCCCCAGCCTCACAACCAGATCCCGGGACCCCCGTGGGCAGCGGGTCGTGGCGTGACCCCACAGGGTCCACGTGGCCGGGGCCAAGCCCTAAAACCATCCTCAAAGCATCGTTTCCGGATGCCCCGGTGATATTTTGGGGGTGGATCGCTGTTTTTTTTTTTTATTATTTTTTATTATTATTTTTCTTTATGCCAACGGCACTGGGGTAAAAAAGGGAATTTTGGGGGCAGCGGGGCAGGGGGTGCGCCTGGTGCTGTCGGCCCCGTGCGGGATGAACGGAGCCTTTGTGCAGGGCACTGCAGGGGAACACAGAGGGGTCCCTGTCCCTGTCCCTGTCCCCATCCCGGGGGGGGGCTGGCACGGTGGGGACAGGGACAGCAAGAGGCATCCGGCTGGGGGCTCATTTTGGGGTGCTCATTTTGGGGCTGGGGGGCTGCCCAAACGGGATGCCCCGCTGCAGGAGTGGGGTCCCCACCCAGGGGACGTCGGAGGGGGCCGGATGTGAGCTATAAATAACCGGGGAGGGGGGGGGGGACGGGGACAAGAAGCCACCACCCGCCACCGCCCCCGGGCTGAGCAGCACGGGCGCACCCCCAGCCGAATTTCGGATGCCCCCAAACGCCCCCAGCTCCCTTCTGCCTGCCCCCAAACCCAGTGGGCAGCCAAAACCCCAAACACCGAGGGTGCATTTGGGACGGGCACAGCACCAAAACCCCAGCGGGACAGGGACGGGGGGGGGGGAAGGTGGCAGCCCCCCCAAAACGGGCAGGGAGGAGCCGGGCGTTGGAACAAAGGGGACGCGCTCGGACGCCTCCGGACCTGAATTTCGGAGGGTCCCCGGCCACCAAAAACCCCCCGGAGCTGGCGGGTGGGAGGGAAGTCGCTGTGCTAGGAGCAGAGCTTTGGGGTTTTTTTGATTTTTTTTTTTTTTTTTAGGGCAGCGCCGGCGGTGCAACGCCCACGGGGGGGTTTTATTTATGCTGGCACGGAGCGGGGCTCGGCCCAAGATAGCTCCGTGCTCTTCCTGCGCTGCCTCCGTAGCTTGGTAACTCCAACCAGACCGGGGGAGGCTGCAGCGCGCTGACAACCCCAGCTGCCTCCGCCCCTGCCTTTTTGCCCCAAATATGCCAAAAAAAAAAAAAAAAATAAAAAAAAATCCCCCCCCCCCCCCACATCCAGCCATGCGGAGCAGCCCCCGGCCACGTTTCGCAGCTCGGCGCAGCTTCTCCTCCTCCTCCTCCTCCTCATCATTCATCACCAGGATGGGTGCTGAGAGCCACATGGGGCCCCCACCCTGAGGATGCGCATTTGGGGAGCAGCGACCTGCCCCAAAATGAAGGGGGACGAGGGGGGGGTCCCCAGCTGCAGCCCCCCCCTCGACCATCCCACGGAGAAGTCCCCGAAAGTCGCCTTCCCGAGGCAGGACGGGACAAAACAGGAGGAGGGGGCTCCAGCTGCCAGGACGGCTCTGACCCCCCCAAACGTGGCTGGGGTCCACATCGGCTGCGTCCCGGGGGGGGCTGGGGGGGCCGTGCCCCCCCTGGTGCTCCGAACAAAGCCGGCTTCTTCCCGGCTCCGCAACAAAAGATGCCTCCAAGCCAGCACGGAGCCCAAACGGCTCCGACACCACAGAGGGAGGGGTCCCAAGCCCCCCCCCCCCAATCCCAGCCATGCGCACAAAAGCCCCGTTATAGCCCCAAATTTGCCCCCCCCCCCGAGGCGCAGCCGTCTCAGGTTTCCTGGCTGGGAGCGAAGCCGCGGGGTTTTATTTTGGGGAGGGGGCTCGGATCTGGTGCCGGACCCCCCCCCACTCCATTTTGGGGACTCAGGGCACAGCAGCAGGGCGGGGGGGGCGGGGGGGTGCCCCGCTGGGAGTCACCCCAAAAGTAGTGGGGAGCTGGGGACCCCTCCGGGCTGCGCATCCCACCCGGCAGCACCCCAGCCAAATTGGACAGGGGGGCCATGGGTGGGTGCTGCCCCCCCCCAGGCCCCCCCAAACCCTCGGGAGGGCCCCCCCCCCCGTTGCTGGGGGGGTGACAGCTGGCGGCAGCAGCCCGCGAGCAGCGCCCAGCCGGGGCCGGTGGCTCCTCTCCAAGCGCCTGGGATCCGTCACGGGGGGGGGGTGTGTATGGGAGGGGGGGGTTTAGGGAAAGGGGGGGGGTCACCGGAGGCCCTGGGTGGGGCGAGGCGGGCTTTGAAGAAACTGCTTTCAAACAGAAACCGTCCCGTCCCCCCCCCCCCCCCCCCCCCGTGCCTGCGTGCGCAGGAACCAACAACCACTTCCCCCCGACACCGGACCCGGAGAACGCCTTTTTTTTTGGGGGGGTGGGGGATGAAACCCCCGGGGATGAGCCCCCCAGGGATGAGCCCTCCTAGAGCTAATCCCCCTCCTCCCCTCATTGCCGGGACCCCCCCGGGGGTGAACAAAAAGACCCGGCCAAACTCAGCCCCGGCCACCCGGTGCCCGCCCCGTCCCCGCCACGCGCCCTGGGGAGCTCCCCAAAAAACCGCTCCCCCCCCCCCAATATTTGCATGGGGGTAAACTGAGGCACGGGAGGAAGAGGGGGGGAGCGGAGCCTCGCACGCTCGCTTGGCCCCCCCCCAGGCACACAAAGCCCTGCCAAGCCCAGGCACCAGCTGCCCCCCTCCGGCCCCCCCCCCAGCCACCGTTTCGCCACGCCAGCGATTGCCAAATGCGCTCCGGAGCCCTGCTGTCCCTGTGTGTCCCCCCCCCTCCCGCGGCCGGGGAAGCGTTCCCTGGGGGGGGCCGGCGCCTCGTGCCTCAGTTTCCCCCCCCCCGGGAACCTTTCTCTCTCCCCCCGCCCCCCCCCCCCCCCCCGCCGGGCTTTGTCTCCGTCGCGGCGCGGACAATGCGGCCGGGGACCGGAGCTTTCCACGCTGCCAAAACGGCGCCCCCGAGGTTTGGGGGTCGGGGGGGGGGCAGTTGGAGTTGCCCCCCCCACCCCGGTGTCGGTGTAGTTGGGGGGGGGTCTCATTGTTCCCCCTGCCCACGCCGCGCACCGGGGCAGGATTTGGGTACTCCCCGCGCATCCCAACCCCACGCGGGACGCAGGGACACAAAGCCCTCCCCCTCTTTAAAAATTCCCCCCCCCACCACCACCATGGGAACCGAACCCCGGAGCCCCCCCCCAGCCCCCGACTCACCCGGGCAGGCTCCTGGGCTCCCCCCTCGCAAAGCAGCGGCGCTCGAAACTTCCCCCCCCCACCCCACCACGCGCGCAGCTGGGCGGGGAAGGGCAGAGCCAACC